AGTACTTGGGATGCTAAGCAAGGACCTGTGAAAGATGCCTATAGCCTGGCCAACAACCCCCAGTACAAACTGGAGGTGCAGTGTCCACAAGGGGGCGCTGCAGTTTGGGTTTTGCTTAGTAGACACATAACAGACAAGGTACTGATACCCTTCTAATGCTGTAGAGAAATTCTTTTGAATACAGGCCAGTAGATACATAATTTGATTGCCAGCCTGTTTCATTTATATAGGTTCCCTGAAAATAATGTCTTCTCAGATAAATTAGTATTTTTCTCTAAGGAAATGTACATTATAATCATACACTTAAAATGTCCAGAAATCATCTGAAGAAAAATATGAAGGAGTTTATGCTTTTCAGTGAGGATTTGGAGGTTGATAATATATGTTAGACCTTATAACTATTAATATTAAAATATGCTAAGAAGGGGGTTGAAAATGTTGACTCATTAGATCTGATTCTAAAAAGGCTAACTATAATCCTAATACCTCAGAATCTTAATATTTCACATAATAGTCATTTTTGAAGTGTTTTTATAATTAAAAACAATGCTTCATAGCACTAAGCAGCTGAAAGAAATGCTCATAAAATTTTTTTTTTTTTTTAACATTAAGAGCATTTTGAGCCCATTTTCTTAAGTCCTTTGGATTCTTTTTGTTTTTAGGATGACTTTGCAAACAATCGAGAATTTATCACAATGGTTGTATACAAGACTGATGGGAAAAAAGTTTATTACCCAGGTATGCTTACTAGCCAAGTGAACATTAAAACATTTTATTTACATGATTAAAATGAAAAGTGACCAATTGTATATAGATCATATGCAGAAATTAATAATTATGCTGATAGACAAAAGCCATTCAAACAGATGGGTTGTGATATTTTGATTGGTTTTTAGTTCAGACTCCAGGAATTTGGGATTTCTATATTCCTTTTTTTTTTAATGTGTTTTTTGTGATACAGGGGATTGAATCTAGGGCCTTGCTCATGTTAGGGAAGCACTTTACCCCTGAGTCACATTCCCATCTGTTTTCTATTTGGTTTTGGTACAGGGTCTCAGTAAATTGCCTGGCATTTTTCTTGCCTCAGCCTCCCAAATAGCTGGGATTTCAAGTGTGTGCCAACCATGTCTGTTGCGATTTCTGTTCTTGCACATTGCTGGCAGACTTTTATTCCTCATACTTATGTCTTGACCAAAAATATTCTGCAGTTTTCCGTGGGCTCTGGAGTAAACATACAAGCTCCTCAGCATGGTGTACAAGGCTTTATAGGTTCTGGCCTTATTCTGTCTGTCGCCCTGTATTTCTTGCCTCAGCCTTTCGTAGCGCCCGCACTAAGATACTTGCTGCCACTCCTTTCCTCAGCATCTTCTGTCAAGAGTCTCTCCTTCCTGCTCTTCACCCTCAGGCCCCTTTCACCTTCTGCTTGATGAACATGGTCAAGCTCCAGCCTCAGTCTCACCTTGGGTGATCACCTTTCCCTGCATAGGGCTCCTGAGACATTGTCCATACAGTATTAAGCTATTTTGCTTTCACATTCAGAAAAAAAATTAAGTGGTAGAATTAAGGGTGTGGGTAATGGTGAACAAACTAGGGCCTTGCATTCATGGAGCATATATTCTAGTTGGGCATACAGGTAACAAGCATGCATGTGTGCACACACACTGAGGTAGTGATACCTGTGTGTGAAATATAAAGTAGGATCATGCGTAACTGGTTGGTGCTTTGTTGAGTGGCCATGAAGGTTCTCTCTGAGGAGGGATTGTAGGAACTGAATGACAGAAATGACCCAAGTCCTGCAAAGTACTGGAGGGGACAGCAAGCACAAGGACTAACATGTAAGATTGGTGTGATGTAGAACAGGAACAAAACCAGGATGGGTGGATGGGTGGATGGGTGTGGTCTCAGGTCAGACAGGTATGCAGGGGTCAGATCACAAGGTTCCGTGAGCAACAGAAAAGGATTTGGGGCCTCTTAAGCAGGAAATGACCTGATCACCCTTTCAAAGAGAACATTTTATTATTTTTTATTTTTTGGTACTGGGGATCAAACTTGGGACCTCGCGCTTGCCAGGCAGGCGCAGTGCCACTGAGTTAAATTCATGGCCCAAAAGAGAACATTTATTTATCTATTTATTTATTCCATTACGTTTATTGGTACATTTTAGGTATACAGTACAGTTACATTCCTCATTGGGATCTTGTACCTGTACATGATGCATCTTGGTTCTTATTTTTCCCCCTGCCCCTGCCCTCCCTTCACCCCCTCCACCCTTCCCTATTTACAGAGACTTTGTTTCCATTTTTTCCTTTTCTCATATTTTTTCTTTCCTTTCCCCGTCCCCTCTTGCCTCCCCTGCTCCTTTGGACCTTTTCCTCCTATTACACATTATCAGTTATACACTTTGATCCTTATTTGCACTGTTTTTCACAAGTTGATGGGCACTTGGGCTGTTTCCAAGCTTTAGCTATTACAAACTGTGCTGCTATGAACATGGGTGCACATATATCGCTATGGTATGATTCTTTTAATTCTTTGGGGAAGATCCCCAGCAGGGGAATAGCGGGGTCAAATGGGACTTCCAGTCCTAGTTCTTTGAGGTATCTCCATACTGATTTCCACAGTGCTTGCACCAGTCTACACTCCCACCAGCAGTGGAGCAGGGTTCCTCTTTCCCCACAGCCCTGCCAACATTTGTTATTGGTTGATTTCTTGATAGCAGCTGTTCTTTCTGGGGTGAGGTGGAATCTCAGTGTTGTTTTCATTTGCATCTCTCAAATGACCAGTGATGTTGAACATTTTTTCATGTTTATTTGCTGCTTTTACTTCTTTGAGAAATGTCTGTTCATTTCAGATGCCCATTTTTGAATTGGGTCTTTATATCTGGGGGGTGGTCTGACTTTTTTTAGTTCTTTATATATTCTAGTAGTCCTTTGTCTGAGTAACAGATGGTAAAAATTTTTTCCGCATTGTAGGTTGTAAAAGAGAACATTTTAAAAAGTTATATTGGAGGAAGCCAGAATCGGCAGCAGAGAAGCAGATTGGGACTTTATTTATGTGAGGAATGATGGTGGTTTGAATTTGGGCTGGTAGGAATAGAGATGAGGAGTGGGCAGATTAGGTTTCAGTAGGATTGTCAGGCCTCTAGTTGATGTAGAGGGCAAAGAAGAATCAGATGATTCCAAAATTTTTGACTTGAGCCATAGAAAGGTTACTTAGGTGGGTGAGACTTTGTGGGGGGAGTGAGCAGGTTTGTTGTGGAGTAAAACAAAAGGTAACTTTTGGCTTGTTAGGTTTGAGACACCCATTAGATGTCCATATGAAGATGCCAGTGGGGAGCTGGAGTTTTCTTTTTTTTTGGTACCGGGGATCGAACTCAGGACCTTGTGCTTGCGAGGCAGGCACTGGAACCACTGAGCTAAATCCCCAGCCCTCGGGCAGCTGGAGTTTTGAGTAACCTTCTGAGGTAAAGTTAGGACTGGAGGTACAGATTAAGGGGTCATGGGCATATAAATGCCATTTGAAAACAGGACTGTGTAATAATCTTTTAGGAGAGAGTGGCAGAATCAGAGTTGAACACTCAGGACCTGACCCCTGGGTTCTCAGGTCCTGAGGCTGAGCAAAGGAACAGAAACAAGTGCCTGTAAGATAGAGTGAGGTTTGAAGTAACCCAAGCAAAGAAAATATTTCATGAGGAAAAAAGTGGGTGACTGCGTCTGTTGCTGTTTGAGGTGTCAATGAGATTAGGTGGAGAGGAGACTGCTGACCCTGGGAAGAATAGGCCCAGTCAGGAATGGGGAGTAGGAGGAGGAACTGTGAGTCAGGTGTGGTGGCACACAACTGTAGTATCAGCACTCTGGGAGGCTGAGGAAGGAGGATTGGGAGTTTAAACCAGACTGGAGAACTTAGCAAGTTAGGGCCTGTCTCAAAATTAAAAATAAAAAAGGCCAGGAATGTAGCTCAGTGCAAAGCCTCAGGTTCAGTCCCTAGTCAAAAAGAGAGAGACACTGATATAAACAATAACTAGTAGTTCTTTCAAGATGGCCATGAAAAGTAGTGGGCAGAGTAGCGAGATGAGATCAAAAGCGATTGAAGTATTTATTTTGTTTATTCATAGGAAAATATGGCATTCTTCCCCTTGACACTGTGCTGCAGGCAGGCACTGAGTTTCATCAGTTGATATTTCTAGGTTTCAGAGTGGGCACGGAGCATATAGGTCTAGTGGTAAATACCAAATTAAACTACACATGTATTTCCAGCATGAAAATGTTAGATGGCTTTTCAATTTCAAATATATTCATTATGTTTACTTTTTAAAATAGACTGTTTTGGGCCAGGGATTTAGCTCAGTGATTCCGGCGCCTCCCACAGAAATGCAGGGACCCGAGTTTGATCCCCAGTACCAAAAAAAAAAAAAGACTTTTGTAGGTTTTTGTTTGTTTTTTGAGACAGGTTCTTGCTGTACATTCCAGGCTGGCCTTGAACTCACAGAAATCCCAAGTGTTAGAATTATAGACATGTGTGACTATGCCTGGCTGTTTTTAAGATACATTTTTTAAAACAATATTTCCACTTTTAATATATAGTAGTTTTACTTCTTCATAGTAATTTCAGGTTTACAGTTTTATTTGCATCACAACACTCTAAATAGGACAGGCCTTGTTCCCTATTGACAGAAAGATAAACAGACATAGTGCAAGATGACAGATACACTCATTCTTTTCTCCTTCTCCCTAAAACACGCCACCTGCAAATATTACAGACATACACTATCCCCTCCTAAGATATACACATGAGTATCCTTTATCCAACACGCTTCGCACCAGAAGTGTTTGAGGTTCTGGATTTTTTTCAGATATTGGACTATTTCCATAGATGTTATAGGTTGACATCCCTCATTTGAAATGCACTGAAATCCATCAGGTTTTGGATTTTCTGCTTAGGGATGCTCACGCTGTACTCACACAGAAAAGTTTTGTTAATCCATCATTTTTAGGATGGTGTGTTTGTATGTGTTAGTCTGAAGAGATGCATCCCAAGTCCAAAAGTGGACGGGAGTAAGGTAATGATGCTGGTTAAAAGGGATTTCGTTTTATAAAAAAGCTAATGTGACACCAAGAATTATTCATTGAAGTCTGAGTGGTAGGGAATATAGATTTTTATAAATTTTTTTGTATCTTTTAGAAATTATTCCCTCAAAAAAGGAAAAAGATGCTAATTCTGACTTTAAAATTCTCTCCTGGAGAAAAATGAATCATGAGCAAATAGCAAGGATTATTATACCTAATAGAATATATTCCAAAATATTGCTTTTATGTGTTAAAAACTGTTTTCAATTGAAATCTGAATTCCCTAATAAAGACTGAATCAAGTCAAGGGATATCTGTCCATGCCTCCTTTTCTATAAACTGGCTTGTCTATCGGCAGCTGACCCGCCTCCGTACATTGATGGAATTCGAATTAACAGCCCTCATTACTTGACTAAGATAAAGCTGACCACGCCTGGGACCCACACCTTTACATTAGTGGTTTCTCAATATGAAAAACAGAACACAATCCATTACACAGTCCGGGTAAGTAACACTGACAAAACAGTAACTTGAAGTACATAATGTGTTCTGCTTTGTAGGTGGGATTATCTGAAGAAAAAATTTATTTCTGAAAATTCATTGTTCTCTTTTTGTATATTTATCAGTTGAACATTATGCTTCCTGTAAAATTGTTTTTGAGAACATTATTATTCACTTTGTACGTTTTAAATGAACACTTTAATTTTCCAAATACTTTAGTCCTGAGATGTGGTATAATTCAATTTTAAAGCAAGAAATAACTCCTTTAAAAAAAAATAACTCCTTCAGCCTAAAGATGATTTACAAAGGTGCTACTCTCATGTAGCTGGGAAGGTCATTGTAATTTTGTTCTACATAGATTAGCTTGCCATATATAAGTGAAGTTCACCTTAAATGCATTTTTAGCAATAAAAGACAAGAGTTGCTGCCACTCCTTCTCTAGATGCGTAAATTGAGACCTGGAAACTTTGTCATTTACCATGAGTCAAGCACAGTGGCAGAAAAGGATCTCTAGATCTCAAACCTGACTTAATCCCCGACTGCCTACTGAATAATGACTTGAGTATGCCAGTCTATCATTTTTTTGTGTGTGTGGTACTGGAGATCGATCTCAGGACTTGGACTTGCTAGGCAGGCACGGTGCCACTGAGCTAAATCCCCTCTTTCATCGTTATGTTTTAATAAGTACAAAGTTTCTCAACCTAATCTCCCTTCTCACCTTGATTTTTTTTTTCAATTAGGTATATTCAGCATGCAGCTTTACTTTTTCAAAGATTCCTTCACCATACACCTTATCAAAACGGGTAAGGAAATTCTTTTCTCTGGGTGATAGTATTCATTTAGAATTTTAAAATTCCTTTTCCTTCCTTGTGTCACCTTATTCTTTATACTTGGGATTTGACAAGAATATAAGGGAAATGTAAGTAGCCTTCAATCTCGGTTGGAATACAAGTTCTTCATTGAGCAACACTAGGTTTTGCTATGGAAACAAGTGACTCACAGGGAAGAGGTTAACACAAACCTTTTGCTGTGGGTAAACCTTTAAAGTCAGCTTTGAGAATGACTTTGCAGTTGAGCCAGCTGTGTAAAGGAATATCCTGGGGAGGATTCCTGGCAGGGAAAACCTCTTGGTTACAGGCTGACAGATGGAGTGCAGCAAAGCAGTCTGGCCATCAGGGAGGGGTCACTGTCAGTGGCAAATAAAGACTGGAGATGTGAGGTTGAGCCACAGAATAGAGAATTGCTTTAAATTTAACTTTTTATTTTAAAAGTGGAGAGGAGTGGAGTTGGAAAATGGGAAGTTTTATTAATACAAAAACTTTTTTATTAGATCAATGGAAAGTGGAGTGGTCAGAGTGCTGGAGGATGTGGAAATTTCCAGGAGACTCACAGAAATAACCCCATCTATCAATTCCACATAGAAA